TAGGGAGTCCCAGCCACTCCCTCACCCTTGCAAGCCCACTGAAGCACTCAGAGCGCTACCAGGCGGGGAGTCCCAGCCGCTCCCTTGGCCCCCGCCGAGCTTCTGTGCAATCACAGGTTCCTAGCGGCAATCGTGGTCCCACCTTTCAGCTGCTCCCCCTGCCCACGCCATGCCAGAAAATCAGAATACTGGACATTGCACATGTCCGATAGTCTCTGATTTTTTTACCGGACAAAGAATGCAAATACCGGACTGTCTGGTAGAATACCGGACACCTGGCAACCCTACAGAAATGTTAATGTTTGTGATTTGGCCATCAATCTGCCTCACCAGTCATCTCTGAAAAGTGAGCCATCAGGAAACCGCAAAGGGCTTTGACCCTTACTCCATCAGGAAGGGTAACACTGCTAGGGACAGGAGCAGTGTCCCCTGTAAGCTGTGCACTTGGGAAGCCAGCCAGGGGAGATTTCAGTGCCACCCAGCTGATTAGCAGAGCACCCAAAGCTTGCAGCTGGTGTTTGTACTGGTGGTGCACACAACAGCATTTATTCTGTACATGGTTTGAAACAATTAGAGGATACGTTGGACAGTAGCCTAAAGAATCTTGCAGAGCCCAAACATGGCCACTTGCTGTGGTTCGCTCATATTCTACTACAACCACAGCAAGACAGACTCACCTTCTGAACAGCAGCATACACCGTGAAGTCTGGTGTCTGAAGAAAGCCAAGACGGTCAACATTAGAAAAGAGCAAACAATAGACAAAGGCCCCAGCTCCCACTTGGCACAGGTCAGCGTAGTTCCATTTACTTCAGTGGAGCAAATTTACACCTGCCTGGATCTGATCCAAGCAGATAAGAATTAAAATTCAAAACCACTCTGACAAAGTACTGGTGAAGCACTGGGATGGGTTCCCTGGGAAGATGGTGGAATCTCCATTCCCAGAGGTTTTTAAGTTTCAGCCTGACAAAGCCCTGGATCAGAGCCAGCCCAAGCTACGGGCTGACCAGGCTACCGCCCAGGGCGCTCCATTGTAGGGGGCACTGAGCGGGGCTGCCGGACCGGGCAGGGGCAAGGCCACCCATGTGCAGGAAAAAATATTTCACTATGAGGGTGGTGAAATACTGGAATAGGTTACCTAGGGAGGTGATGGAATCTCCATCCCTAGAGGTTTTTAAGCCCTGGATGGGATGGTTTAGTTGGGATTGGTCCTGCTTTGGGTAGGGGCTGGACTTGTTGACTCCTAAGGTCTCTTCCAGCCCAGGGATTCTAGGATTCTAAATTGGAGACTTAGATCCAACAAGGTGAAATTCAATAAAGCCAAGTGCAAAGTACAGCAATGAGGAAGAGAGGGAGGAGATATTTAACTAGTTGGCATAAGGGTTTGAGGGCTGTGGGCTACCAACAATAACCCTGAGTTATCGGGGAATTGAGACTATGATGTTAGGGGATTTAGGGTGTAAACTGAGGCCAGGGAACCCTAGGATTAGGAACAGATACCAGCTGGGGAGATTTTAGGACAGGGACACTCAGCGTGAGTGTGATCGCTGCTCACAGCGGGGTGCTCACCCAGACACTGAACTTCAATCTATAATACTGATACCAGGGCTAAAACCTTTCAAGCCTCAAGTTTAATCAGTGAGCCACTGGCAATTCCTAGCTCAGCAGAATCAGGAAACAGTCTGGCTATTAGGAACAGCCTTCTAAACTTGCAGGGTGGGGAAGAGCTGGAACAGGCTTTCACAGGAAGGTGTGGACTCCCCATCTCTCAAGGTTTCTCAGAACAGGTAGGAGAAGGGATGGTTCCCAACCCCTTCTCTAAGAGAGGCCTAAGCAGTGACTTTTTTCATCCATACACCTGCACAGGGAATGTAAAACAACACTTAAGGCTTGCAATCAGCAGAGTGAATGGGGTTAGAAGGAGCACTGGGCACTTACTTGCGGTTTGGTGTTGATTTCAGCATAGATGGTATTTCCTACCACTCTGCTCCTTGCATTTGCATTCTGTACGGGAGAAATAATCACCAAGTTAGTTTAAATATCTTTAATCATGGAGGAAAATAAGGTGTTCCCTTTCCCTCCTCTCTCTGCAAGCAGGAACACTGGCTCAGATACTGAGAGAATAAAATTCAACCACCCTCTAGGGCCAGCTCCAAGGTATGATGAAATCAACAGGAACCACTGCACAGACTCTAGGGAGTTCCTGATCAGGTTGCTAGAAGGCGATGGACCCATACAAGACAAGCAACACTAGGGGAGTAAAAAGAAGTCATGCCAAAACTATTTTTTACATTTTTAAACAGATGCCAGAAAATTAGATGTTGAGAAATGCAACAGAATTAATCTCTTCAGGTACATCTACACTAGTCCCCTAGTTCAAACTAAGGAGGCTAACGAGGGCGACCAAAATTGCTAATGAAGCACGAGATTTAAATATCCTGTGCTTGATTAGCATATTCCGGGCCTGTCGCCATTTTGGAAACCGACTAGCCCGAAGTAACTGTCCGCGTCTACATGCAGCAGAGAAGCGGGATTCCGAGATAAACCCCTTCGTTTGAATTAACTGTTAAACCTCATTCCACGAGGAGAGAAACTCCTGTGGCTAAAATGGTCACCAGAGCTTTCTTGCGCAAGAGAGGGTCCACACTGCCATGGGCACTCTTGTGCAAAAGCACAGCTCGCACATGGTAGTGTGGAAGTTTTCTTGCGCAAGAACCCACCAGTGTAGACATAGCCCTGGATATTGAACCTGGCCCTGACTGCTGCTGGCACTACCCACTAGGAGGGTTACATATGACTCCTATTTTATTTTAGATCACGCAAGATCTCCTGGTTAAGCCAAGGTGACCTTTTGCCTTACTTTGTCTTTCCAACGCAGCAGAATAGCTTGCTTTTGGGCCCTTAATGTCCCTTTGAAAAACTGCCACTTCTCTTTGGTTGTTTTTCCCATTAGTCTTGCTTCCTTCCCATGGGACCTTACTTACCAGCTTTCTGAACTTATCAAAATCTGCCTTCCTGAAATTCATTGTCTCTATTTTGCTGTTCTCCCTTCTACCCTTCCTTAGGATCATGAACTCTATGATCTTATGATCACTTTCACCCAAGCTGCCTTCCACTTTCAAATTCTGAACCAGTTACTCCCTATTTGTTAAAATCAAATCTAGAACAGTTTTCCCCAGTAGCTTTTTCAACCTTCTGAAATAAAAATGTTGTCTTCAATGCAGCCCAAGAACTTATTGGATAGTCTGTACCCTGCTGTGTTAGTTTCCCAACATATGTCTGGATAGCTGAAGTCCCCCATCACCGCCAAATCCTGCACTTTGGATGTGCTTTGGATGATTTTGTTAGTTATTTAAAAAAAAGCTTCATCCACCTCTTCCTGGCCTGTAGTAGACCCCTAGCATGACATCACCCTTGCTTTTTTTTTATCCCTTTTAGCCTAACCCAGAGACTCTTGACACATCTGTCTCCTATGTCCATCTCCACTTCAGTCCAAGTGCGTACATTTTTAATAGATATGGCAACACCTCCTCCCTTTCTCCCCCGCCTGTCCTTCCTGAGTAAGTTGTACCCTTCTAAACCAGTGTTCCAATCATGTGTATCATCCCATCAAGTCTCTGTGATGCCAACGATGTCATAGTTGTATTTATTTATTAGCACTTCCAGTTCTTCCTGCTTATTACCCATACTTCTCGCATTTGTATATAAGCATCTAAGATATTGATTTGCCTCCCAGTTCTGCCCTGTCCCTCTTTCTCTGCTGTTATAGCCCACATTCCCTCCCATTCCAGCCCACAGAGAACAGTGGTGTCTATAGGCATTAACCAGCAGCGTTACCTCCTTGATTTCATGCTGCTCTTTTATACATTCAGGCTACGTCTAGACTGACATGATTTTCTGCAAATGCTTTTAACAAAAAAGTTTTTCCGTTAAAAACATTTGCAGAAAAGAGCGTCTAGATGGGCACGGACACTTTTCTGCAAAAGCACTTTTTGCGGAAAAGCGTCCATGCCAATCTAGACGCAATTTTGCGCAAGAAAGCCCCGATCGCCATTTTCGCCATCAGGGTTTTTTTGTGCAAAACAGTTTTTAGCTGTCTACACTGGCCCTCTTGCACAAAAGAATTTCCAGAAAAGGGCTTTTGCCCAAATGGAAGCATGAAAGTATTTGCGCAAGAAGCACTGATTTTGTACATTACAAAGTCAGTGCTCTTGCGCAAAATCAAGTGGCCAGTGTAGACAACTGGCAAGTTTTTCCACAAAAGCGGCTTGCCAGTCTAGACACAGCCTCAGTGTCTAAACATGAAAAATCCCTTGCTCATCTGACCTTAGCTCCACTTCTTGAAGATGTACAGAGAAGTGAAACATCACAAAACAAGGAAGAAGAGACACAAAGACTGTGGGGAAAGCATATTTAAACTATGGCAGCTTCAAATAAGTAAGACAAAATGAGACTCCTGTGGCAAGGGAGCTGCTATGCAGTATACTGGCCAAAAGGGGGCAGCAGATGGTTATGAATAAATCTTGCACATTGCAGACATTTCATTCACCTGTTTCGAAAAGGTATTTCTTATTCCCTATCTTACAGTGAAAACATATTTCTATAGCACTTCTATCCTGCAGGCTGCAAAGCAATATGTACACTGTTATATACATACATACACAGAGATTGCTTCCTCCACCCCTGCAAGGCAGCCACCTCTGGGGTGGAGCATGGCAGCTTAACAGTTACACAGCAACTCAGCATTAATGGTTAGATGGGAAGTATGGTATGCCACAGGCATTCAAAACTTGAGGGGGGAATTGTAGTCATCTCAACTGGAACCAGTCAAGAGGAAATGGCACTGGAGTGGGAATGAGGAGACCTATGTGTCACTCTCAATTTTGACCCTGAGCAAATCATTCCCCCCCCCCCACTCTGTGCCTCAGTTTCCCCTCCCATAAAATGGGGGTAATGATGTTGACCTGACTTCATTAAGGCTCCACATCTAGAAAGCAGCAACAGAAATGCTAAGTTACTACTTAGTACGTGGGGCTTTTTAGGATGATAGCTCAGACGTCTCTGTTCGCCTGCTCATGCTTGTGATGAGACAGAAACATTTGAAAGTGAAATTGACTAACTCAAAGCCAATAAGAGAGATTATTTTTTCAATTAATACATAATCAGACTGTGGAACTCGCTCTCACAGGCTGTCATTGAGGCCAAGAAACTAGTAAGAGTCAAAGAGGGATGCGAAACATTTATATAGAAAAAAAAAGGATATTCATAGTTATTAGGGGGCTGTGCCCCCTGCTTGCTATGTTCGCCAGTTCCCCTCTCTCTGGGGGTAGATGACTGGTCAAGGGAAGGGTCCAGGAGCAGGCTGGGGGTAAGTGTCTGGCCAGCAGGGAGGGGGCAAGAGTAGGCTTCGCATGTGGGGTCTTGGCAGGGTGGTGAGTGAGGTTGCTGGGGGTGTGAGGTCTCGGCAGGGGGGGGAGGTCTCTGGCGCCGCTCTCGGGTCGCACTACTGGGGGTGGTCTCTGGAGCCTCCCTCCGGTCAT